CTTGACAATATAAGTATGGACCTGCCAATTTTTAAGTATAAAGTTTTCTTGAAAAATCCCAAATGCATAAGTTACGTGCTTGTGAGGAGCTTTAAAGCCTTAAAAGAAGCTTGTTAAGCTTTAGAAACATGCGTGTCACCTACTGCTTTGATTCCTCCTGTTCTTAAAATTAATAATTCAAACATTATTTTTTATATATATATAAAATATGTAATTATAGATTAGCAGTGTTGGCTAGTCTTGATGACTGTTTTGCTTGTCCTGAATGACCTCTCCTTTCAGGGACCTTTTGCTAGCTATTTAATACCTTTAATGTAATAATAAAGTTATAAAATATAAAAAGTAATCACCACCTCTTCAAAACTGTAAATACTCTAGAATCAGGCAGAGATGGGGCATAAAATACAAATTACAGAATCACAGAATGGTTTGGTTTGGAAGGCACCTTCTTTGGGATCCATGATGGATTTGAAGCAGCAGATGCAAAGTGGTAGGCGTGGTTCATCTCAGAGAAATTCTGGCTGTGTTACGGGTCCTTGTATTTCTGTGCTGTAGGATCTGCCAAAGCATCTCTGCTTTCCTCAGGAAAACGTAGCCATTTAATTGCCTTTTCAGCTTGGACTTGGTATTTGATGGAAGAAGGACGGGATCCAGCTTAATTGGGGGCATGGTGTTGGAAGTAGTGAAAGTGTTAATAAAAAAATCATCTCTGAAGTTGGTTGTGTTGGTTGCTGTCCCTGGCAGCACAAGGGGAACAGGGACATTAAATCACAGGGGCAACTGCAACTGCTTGCCTGGAAAGAGCTGGAGTGTAAATCAAAGCCCTCTGCAGCCTCCTCCCACAGAGACAGGCTCAGTAGCCACAGGAATCTCCTTTTTGGGGCTGGTTTGCACTTTGTCTCCTCAGGGTCTGGGGAAACTTGCCTCAGTTATGCCAGTAGGATGACTTGTCTGGCTGTGAATTGAAGTCAGTGACCAGAAATACATCACCTGTCCCAAGTCACAGAATCCCAGACTGGTTTGGGTTGGGAGGGACCCCAAATCCCTGGGCACCCTGGGCCAGGGCCTGCCCACCCTGCCAGGGAACAATTGCTGCCCAAAATCCAGCATAACCCGAAGTCACAGAGATGGAGAAGCCCTGTACAAATTACTGTGCTACCAACAGCTTTATTACTGTGATTTACACCTTCTGTCAGGATTGTAAAAATTCCCCATGTCCTTACAGTTCCTTAATGTTGTGCTTGCAACAGAGTGATTCCATAGTAATAGAGTTTCCATTGTAGCAATCCCATTTTTAGAGGAAAATCCCTTTGACCTCAGGTTCCACACGTTTGAAGTTCCATGTCTGCAGTTACTGTTCTGGGACTCAGGGTCAGTCTGAAGAGAGGAATATCCCTACCTTCTTTCTGAGTGTGTAGGGTTGGATTATATCAATAAGAAAGTTATTATTGATGTGTGTGAGAAAATAAGGAATGAAAAAGATTGACCATGAATTCCAGAACATAAATTGCTTGTGGTATAATCTTGAGTGAAGAATTTTTACTTAAACCCAGACATTTGTTTCAGTAAATTTGGTCAGAAATTGGGAGGAAGGGGAAAACTTGTATCCTCTTTATTAATTGCATCGCTATTTCCTTTTCCTAAATAGAAGAGATTATGGGGGCCATGTTTTATTAATTCTGCCTTCTTTTTCTGACCTGGTGGCTGGGGTTTTGAACACTGCTGGGAAAATGTCTGGAATAGGTGACACCAGCTATGGTGTTTGCTGGTAGGATCCTGCACAAAATTCTTGACACCCCTGTGTGAATTTATTTTTGCAAAGCAACATCATGCAAACCAGGTAGGGGAAGAGGCAGCTTCAGGCACAAATCCCCTGGACTATCATCAATGGAGAGACCATAAATGTTGTGATGGATGCTTGAAGGCAGTTTAATGTAGCACTGGAGAAAATAGAAGCCATTACCTCTGGAAGAGCTCCAGTTATGACAGAGAAAATAAATGGTGCTGTTACAAGAGATGTACTGACAACAAAATTCCTGCTGGCTGGGGAGGAGAGCAGCAGAGCATGGTACAGAAACCTACAGACAATTACCCGTTATCGAAGTAATGTTTATTTTTGGTTCAAATCCGACATGGAGACTGCTTAAGATAAAATGACTTAATCCAATCTGATGGAAGTTTAGTCTTAATTATACTTGTGCTTGGGAACTGCCCAGTGTTTGCCACTGCTCAGATCAGTGTGGTGACATTTCCCTGCTCAGCACCTGTGCATGGAGGGCTGTACCTGCACAGACACTGAACGGAGAGCTCTGCTCGCTCAAACCCAGCCTGGGATGGCATTCCTGAGCAAACCAGGTTCAGGAGCCAGGGAATGGCTGCCAGTGGCAGAGGGCAGGGCTGGATGGGATCTTGGGCAGCAATTGTTCCCTGGCAGGGTGGGCAGGCCCTGGCACAGGGTGCCCAGAGCAGCTGGGGCTGCCCCTGGATCCCTGGCAGTGCCCAAGGCCAGGCTGGACATTGGGGCTGGCAGCTCCTGGGACACTGGGAGCTGGCCCTGCCGTGCCTGGGGTGGGAATGGGGGGGCTCTGGGGTCCCTTCCAACCCAAACCATTCCAGGACTTTGTGATTAATATTCAGTCTACCCCAGGGAACATTTCATGTCTTTCATCCATCTCTCTCCCCCACATTTTTTTAATGGGAGGAGCTGGGGCAGCAGCTACAGCAGCAGGCACAGAACATCCTCACACATCTTTCCTGCATCACCTGTGAGAGAGGTCTTTACAGAAAATAAATGAAGCAACATTTTGAGCTTCCAGATTCAGCAGAGCTGAACCCAGGGCCTGCCTGTGAAAGATTCCTTCCCCATCCCAGCTGGGTCGGACTCAGAGGGATATGCAGATGTGTGATGGATTCCAGCGTGTGGTGCTGGACAGGCACTGCTGTAAATCAGCCTCATAGCTAGATAGATCCAAAATCATAGACAGATCCAGGAAAATAATGCTGTTGATTTCAAATAAACTGTGTGTTAGAGTATTGCTGCCCAGAAGAGTTGTGGGCAACCTGCAAATGGGTTCTTGCAGTACAGTGCCAATGAGTGCCTGTGGGAATTGACTTGCAACTCTCACACCGCCCTGGTGCATGACTGCCTGGAAAAAGATTAATTGTAAACAGGACGTGGGATGATTCTCATATATTGTTTCTCGAAACTGTTTTGGGTTTTTTTCTTCATGAAGCCCCAGTAGGACTCTATATTTTTGGTGTAGCTGGCACCAGACAAGACTAGATGAAGGGTAGAATTGCTGCCCTAGTATTTTGCTCAGGATACATTTCAGTGCATGTGGAGTGTCATTGTTCTGCCAGGTAAGTGCAGCAGGCAGTGAACTGATGCTAATGAAGCTGATGCAGCACAAACGTTGACTCCTTTTCACCCTTCTGACAGTGTTTGAGAAGGATTTGGGGTTCATTCCACCACACACACACACCCCCCACCCTCTCTCAGGGCAGGCTGGGGGCCTGGCAGTGAGAGGCTGTGTAGCCCATTACCAATTCTGAAATCATCCAGGGCTTTGATAACTCCTGCATTTTTATTGGCAGCATCCCCATGCCGCCTGCTCAGAGCTGCTGTGTCAGTGGTTTAACCTTGAGTGTACAGCAGAGCCTCACAGGATGCCATTGTCTACAGGATTTGGAATGCAGCATTTGAACCAGAGCTGATGCTCTCAGGAAGCATGTTTTCCCTGATGCTCCACAAGCTTCTCATCCCCACCTCAGCCTTCTCCCTTTCTAAAGGCAGCTCCTTAATGGCTTTTGGCTCAGGATTTCTTTTGGCCTCTTGTACCTTCGTGGTTTCCCTGCCAGTGTGTGACCCATTCCTGTCTTTTGAGTAGCATGGAATTCCTGTGTTTGGGAATGTTTTCAGTGCCACTCTGTTGTCATATCGTAAGAAGAGGAAGGACTAAAAGAAGATGTAGAATGTAAAGGTAATAGACCATTTTAAAAATCAAGTCTGGCCTCTGTGTGTCACTCACTGGTAGTTTGCTGAAGCAAGAAATGCAGAGCAAAATCAAATCCTGGGGGTCAGGATGGTTGGGAATAACTTCAGGCTGAATATTCAGCTTTGGAATTACCTTCATGCCTTGTTCAGGCAGCTGAGTCACATAAACCCAGGTCACTTCTCTCTTCTTTCTGGGGGTTTGTGCTGCCTCTTACACTCATCTCCCATGTAAGGGAAATTGCTGAAATTTTTTTCACAATTTACTTCTTAAATTTTTTTTATTTTGCATAATAATTTTGTAAATATTATTAACTGTATATTTTTTCCTGTCTTTAAGGTATTCCATTGACATGATCCATGCATTTTCTGGAATTATTTGGAGGCTTAAGTTAATTTGAGCAGATAAAGAAAGGGGGGGGGATTTTAATTCAAAATACTACTCTTTCTCAAAGGAAAAACCGCATCAATTCACTTTTGACAACAGCAGATGGTAGCATTCTTATGCAAGTTATCTGTTTGCAGTGTGAAACAAAGCTTTCTGAACACTCTTTTTTGTATATTCTGAAGCTTCTGGGAGTTTTTAAAAGTTCTCTTAGGCTTAAAGGGATTGATCCTTGTGAGAACATTTTCAGCATCAGAACCAAGTGGAAGTTAAAGCCACCTTGGGAGCACTTCCTTCTCCCTTCTTGCTGCCTCTCCAAACAGAACCATCATTGTCTATTTCCCAACACCAGCCTGAGGAGATAGCAGGGCTCAGGGTCCTTGAAAACCCTTTTTCCTGAGGGGAAGGGGTTTTATGTGTTCCATTTGGATCAGACTGTGGTTTACACAGCAGCTTTGCCTCTCCACAGCCTGTTAATGCTGATACAGTAACTTGAGTTACTTTCTCAAACCATTACATTTTAACTAAAACAGTAGCATAGCCTGGTTGCTGATGTTATTTCCCATTCAATAGAGGAGAATATATATTAATAATGTGTAATATATACAATATATATAAATTTGTCATGACTGTGCTAGGAAGAGCAATATGAGATAAGATTCTGAAGTGAGGAAAGTTGCACCCTGCCTTGTCTTTTCCAAATGCACATGATGGTTTTTCTGGTTTTTCTGTTTTTCCCTTCTGTGACAAAGCAAATTTTGTTCCCTCTTAGGAGCACCCCATCCTTGGGCAGCCTTTCTTTGTCCTGCATCCCTGTCGAACCAATGAATTCATCTCTGCTGTGCTCGGGGGCTCACAGGAGCACCACAGGTGAGGGGCACTGCTGGGCCTTGCAAGGCTTCATGCAAGGCAGGTAAAGTCAGTCAGCTGCAGGGTGGAAATGACCAAAACTACTCCCTTGGTCCAGGAAGAATAAGATTTCTGTATTGTCACTTCAAGCTGGAAAATTAAAATACATTTGTGACAGGAAAAATGAAGGAATAGCCCCATCAGAAGTTGTTTTGTGACTGTTGAGTCTGTCTGTGTTTCAGAAAAGGCTGGGATAATATATTTATGGTGCTTTTTTTGGTGCTTTTTTCCCCCCTAGACATACAAATTACATCATACTGTGGCTCAGTACCGTAGGCCCAGTTGTGGGCCTGAATCTGCCTTTGAGTTACGCAAAAGTGGCATCTGAGCAGAGCACAAATTTGGCTGAAAGGTAAGAGAAAAGGAAGCCATCCTTTCCTCTCCCATCCTCCTGTTCCAAAGATCACGTGGATAAATGGCAGAACCATTACCTCCTCCTTTGAAGCTCTTGGTACAGTTAATTTAGGACTCACCTTTCAGCGCTGTGCTCACCTGTCTGCCTTGTTGCCTCAGGTGCTTTGCAATGAGAATTGATGCAGAGAGGTGCTCAGCCCACTGCTGACACCCTTCAGGCCCCTGGGGTCTCCCTCTGCTGTGGAGAAGTGTTTTATATTGGTTCTCCCAGCACAGGGTTGGGGGTCTGGCAGAACTGCTGCAAGGATTCTATTTTAACTCCTTCTTTGTGTTTGCTGTCGCCTCTCCAGAGCCCAGAGCTGAAGGACTGGGAGTGGTTAGGCTGTGATAAAGCTGCTGCAGACTCCCCTAGGGATGAAGCTGGAGGATCCTTCCTGGCTGGTTAGCCATGCCAGAGTGGAAATGATTGCTGATGGCTCTTTCCCTGGCCAGAACTCGCCACTGATGAGATGGTGGGAATTGGCTGCTGCTGTGGAAACACCTCCCCAGCACCACCCAGACCTCATCACCTCCTCCTGTGCCCTTGGTGAGGCTGCACACAGATGCACAAGCCGAGTTGTTGGATCTACTGAACTTACCCCTAGAAGATCTGCACCATCTGCAGGGCAGAAAATGCAATATAAACACAGAAAAATTCTCATGGGATGTGGTGTGAGCTTGTGGCAGCCCGGGTATGGGCTAAGACTGCTTCACCTGGGAGCCACCTTCTCCACCAGAGCCTGGTGAGGGACCAGCCCACAGAACATCCTCATCCTGGGAATATCCCACATCTCACACCTCCTCAGGGAGCCAGCGGGGTCGGGACTGTCACAGACAGAGCCCTTGGAGCCTGAGTGCGACGAGCACGTCCAGCTCTGGAGCTCAGGTGCCTGGAGCAGCCGTGTGGGAACATCTGGCTCTGCCGTGCTCCACTGCCTGCCAGGGAAGCTCTCCGTGCCCCCTGGGAGCTGCTGCTGTTCCCAATTAGTGTTTCTCGTTGTACTTGTGGTTGCTCACAGGTTTGCTCCCTACCCTGCACTGTTTCTGCAGCCTCCCCTGACAGCTGTTGGCTTTTGGGGAATTGCCTGGTGGTGCTGCCACTGAGAACCAGATTATGAGGAACTTCCCTACCACCCATCCTGGCTTCTCTCCCAATCCTGTTTTATTTGCAGTGTAAAACGGAGCAGCTGACGTTGAAACACAGATTTTACTTTGCACATGCAGCAATTGTCACTTGCACACAGAGCCTAGTGAGTGCCACGTCAGAGCTGGGAGTGTGAAGTGCATCCAGATCCTGGTTTTTCAGATTATGTTTTTAACTTCCATTACTTGTCATGGGTGGATATGGAATACAGAGTGCAGTCCTTCAAATTCCATTGCTGGGGAGTTTGTTTGCCAGCCATTTGGAATTAATAATGAAAGCACATTGTTTATTTTGTTCTGCATCCTAACAACCTTTCTGAAAAGCCATTTTTCCCATGTAAGATTTACAAAATATGGCCCACAGCTACGTTAATTTTTTTTAACACTTTTGATAACACATGCTTGAAATTTGCTTCCACAGTCCATTTGTAAATTTAAGTGAGACTTAGATAGGAGGAAGAACCAACAAAAAGAGGTAACAGCAGGTTTAGGAGCTGTTAAATGTTCACCCCTGCTCTGTGATCTTCACTTGTGATACCCTGCAACAAAAGAATAGAAGCACTCAGCCTTCAAAATGTGGAATTTATTGTAAAAAAATAAATTGTTTTATTTTACATGGAAAAAGTCTCAACACCCTTGGTTTCTACCTTAATTTAGTATTTGCAAACAGAGAAGGGGATTATTTGACCAGGGCATTACACATTGTACCGGGCTCAAACAACGAGGTGACAGCACAGTGTCTCATCAGTATCAATGTTTCCCTGAAATTTGGCTGGAAAACCAAAATTCAGCTTGGCTTGTACAAATACATGGAGTTTAGGTAGAGAAACAAATACAGGCTAACAGAAATATTTGTGACCAAGGAGATAAATAAGCCCATTTGGATATCTCCTTTTTAATGGCTGGGGTGGGTGGGAGACAGGCACCCAATTTCCTATTTACATTTATGCCTTAATGAGAAAATTATATATATANCAGTGGCAGAGGGCAGGGCTGGATGGGATCTTGGGCAGCAATTGTTCCCTGGCAGGGTGGGCAGGCCCTGGCATAGGGTGCCCAGAGCAGCTGGGGCTGCCCCTGGATCCCTGGCAGTGCCCAAGGCCAGGCTGGACATTGGGGCTGGCAGCTCCTGGGACACTGCGAGCTGGCCCTGCCGTGCCTGGGGTGGGAATGGGGGGGCTCTGGGGTCCCTTCCAACCCAAACCATCCTGGGATTTTATGAAATCATTTTAATACAATCCTAGGTATTTCTGAACTTGATGAGAGTCTTTAGAATAGCTTTCACAACTAGGTGACAGTAGATGTCCACTTACAGATAATTGGTAATAACATGGAAGCATTTGAATACTCCTTCACTTGGCTTGATAGTAGAGGTTGTTTTTTTCTAAGAAAAGTTGAAGCTTGGAGACTACTTGTGTTTGTATTCTTTAATAGTTCTACTTGCAAACAATCTTAAGTGTAAGCTGTTTTTAATGTTGCCTCATGAACATGTACTGCTACAACCACAATTCCTAAATTTATGCATAACATGGCACACCAGTATTTTGAAGTGTTTTTTTCAATTTATTTAGACTATTGCTTCCCTTCTCATTTTGATCTCTCTCTCTCTCTCTCTCTCTCTCTATATATGTATATGTATGCACACCACTGCTGTGTGTACACCTTTTCTTGCAGCTCTTTGCAAATGATACAGAACAAGCATCCCTAAAGCACCTTTAATCACAAGGTGAAAGAGAGAATTTTGCTACTAAGTTCTGAAGTGGTAGAGAGACAGCTGAGTGGTGCTCTGGCTGTAAGCCATGTTCATGACTGCTTCTGGTCTAAACTTGAGTGTCTTCAGCTGGACTGACCCATGCAATTGCTGGATTTTGTGGTCATATCAACAACTTAGTCCAAAATCACCAGTTGCCTGCTGTTCTCTTGCTTCAGCCATTGGCAGGAAACTTTTTTGAAGCTGTTATAAGAAGGCTTGAGATTTCAGGATCATTTTGCCTTGGTGTGCTGGAAGAGCTGTCAGTTTCAGGGTAGGAAGCAGAGTTTTTGCTTTTGTGGGGCGATGAAAAGAGTTCAGTGCTGGAGGCTCGGTATGTGTGGATGCTCTTTCATGTCAAAAGCAGAATGTCTCAGGTTGAGATATTTTCTGCCATCTCAGTGGACAGCAGTTTCTTTTTCTCACTCCCAAGATGCAGGGAAAGCATCACTGCACACAAAGTTGAGTTGATTTTTGTGTTTAGATTTAGTCATGTTACATGTGAAGTTATGCAGAATAATAGAATCCAAATATTTTATTTTTTGGCTACTAAAATATTTTTAGTTTTGAAGTGACTCTGATAAGTTACGCATTGGTAATAAGTATTTCTGACAATGGGTGCAAAATAATGGATATTAGGGTAAGAAGATAAAAAATGTGTTTAAAATCAGTTTGAAATTATGTGAGACAATATGGGTTATATACCCTCAGCACATGAGAGAAGGGGACATGCTGGATGCATGTCCAACAAAAGGCCATGATGATGATGATGATGATGATGATGATGATGATGATGGAATCAGAGCATCTCTTTTATGAGGGAAGGCTGAGAGAGCTGGGATGGCTTAGCCTGCAGATGAGAAAGTCCAGGGAGGAACTCCTGAAGGTGTATAAATACCTGAAGGAGGGTGCAAGGAGGAGGAAGCCACACTCATTTTAGTGGTGCCTGGTGACAGGACAGAAATTATATAAATTTAACAAACTGTAAAAGTATTCCTTAGCACTACTATAAAATTATGAATGTATGTTACTTAGACAACTCAGTGATTTTTTGTTGTATGTCTACATTTCTCTAGTTTCATTTCAGAGCAGAATACCATGGGGTCACTAATGTAATATTTTTGACCTCGAATTAACAGGTGCTGTCAGTGTTAGTTATGTTTTTTTGGGGATTAATCAAGGGTGAAAAAAGATATGAGTTTCTGTAAGACTAAGAAGCAGATCCGATAGATTAAATGGGGAAAGTACAGGAACAGATTTGTTGGGAGAAAAATATAAAATATTCTTTGTTCTGAATATTTCCCAACCAGATACAAAATTGGTAAATGTTGAAGAAATTTCTTGGTAATTTTAACCTCTTTTAATTTTGTTTTATATCTCAGCTTCTGTATCAGGAAGGAGGGGGAGGTAAAAAGCTGTCAGTATAAGAGGTAATACAAATAAAACTCTTATAATGGAGAGGAAGTTAATATCAAAGGCAATGGAGGAGATACTATCATCCAACTGTCCTTAAATGCCCAAGTCCTTATTTGTAGCTTGGGTGTTTTTTTGTTTATTTTGCATTCACATTTCATAGTTCTCAATAAAATTAAGTGTGACTGAATTGCTATTTACAACCTAAGCCTTAGCCAGAGGAAATTCAATTAACAGCAAGGACAGAACAAAAAGATAACAAATAATTATTGCCCTTTTTTAACCTTTCTTTAAATGTAAGTTTATGTTCTGTGAAACTAGATGTCAAAAAAAAGATGTTGGATACTTGAGAAGCTATGTAAATAACATCTCCAGCTGGTTTGGATGGTTTGTGTTAAATAAATTGGGCTTTTAAATTTTATAACTGTAATGGGTCCTATTTGCTGATTTATTGAAATGATGCTCCTTTTTTGATTTCTATATTTTTAAAGCTGTTATTTATGGTTTAAATATTTTCAGCATCAGGGTTATGCTTAAGTCTTTATGTTTTGTAGACCAGCTTTGCTATGTTAGCATGACATTGATAATACACATTTGACTGGCTTTTGCTTCTAGAAATGAAATTTGAATGAATTAAAAAAAATAAACAAAAGACTATAAAATGTGATTTGGCACAGCATGAAAAAGAGAAAGCTTTTCTTGAAGAAGGCAAGAAAAATGAGAAAATCAAAAAAAGCCTGATTACTTTAGCTGGAGGGAAGGCATCAAAACTGTTAGTACACAAATGAAATTGCCCCATGACACAAATAATCTGTTTTTAAAGATGTGACAAAAAAATACTATCATGAGGAATCATTCACATGTTTTGCCTATCCTTATGGATGTTTTCTTTCTGAAGAGTGTGTGCTACAGACATTATTACATTTGGCATTAAGTATGACATTTTCCATTGTTATAAACTTACTAAACTATGCTTTGTGCATAATTTGGAGTAAAGGCATAGAAGATGTGCAAAGTTATTAAGGATTTCATTAATTTATTTGCAAAAGTAAAGATTGGTAGAGATGTGTATACTCTGCAATCTGAATGGGCTCTTGGAGGCTTCACAAATGTATGGTTTGCTTTTTCCTTTAGTTTTGGTTTGGTTTTTTTGTTTATTTTTATTTTTTTTTATTTTCAAGTGTGGAAAGAAATCCTATCAGGTTGTCAGCAAAATTTTCCCTTGAATCTGGGGATTTAATTGGTAACTCATCCAACATATGCAGGGTAAATTTCCGATGATCCCTTGATTTAGAAGTCGGAACCTTCAACATATTTTATTGACATTGATGGAATTTTGACAGATTAAGGTATGAAAATTGATTGCAACGGTAGAGATAACTATTAATTACTGCAATTAATTAATTAATTAATTAATTTTTGGGTAAAGTAATTCTGTCAGAAAATGTTGGAGAAAAACTGACCAGAAGAAACTGCAAGTCCTGGACCCTTTTGTCATGAGAAGTGATGGGAATTTTGGCAGTACTGGCAAGATCTTGCCCCAAACATTAATTTTCTGAGAGGTCTGTAGGACCTCATTCTAGAGGTAATTCCTTGGACTTCCAATATTAATTGCAGATTAATTTCCTTAATTTCAGTCAGTAGCTTCCTGTGGGCAAACATAATTTATTGCCATACTGTTAATCACCAAAGAAATTAAGAATAGTAAACTAACATTAAAAATGTGTTTAGCATATTACAGAGGATGAAAATTTGAGGTGGAATCCTTGATCCCTTGCCAGTGGGAAAGGCAGTAGGATTGTTCATCAGTTTAATTCCTGATCCTTTCAGTGGTGTGTGATTCCGAGCAATGTCTGTTCGCTTACCTGGATGCCTGAGGAAGTGATAGTGCTACTAAACATCTCAGGCAATACCTCGGAAATGTGTTCCTCTGGGGTGTGACTGGTGGCATCTGCTAGGGCAGCATCACGTAGGTAAGATTAGCTAGATGCATGTCATCTGCATTGTATTTCATTTCATGATCTGAGAAGGTTGACTTTATTTAACGCTTTGGTGAGTGAGACATGGTCAGGGATGTTGCTCTTTCATCAGCTGCACTGAGAGAAAAGGAGGGAGGAGGGAAAAGCAATGGGTTTGGAAACCAGTCTCAATTTCATTTCATTCATTTCAATTTCATTCTTTCCCCCCCCTCCCACAAAGGGAAGAAGTGGATGCACATTTTATGGAGCTTAAATGAATTTGCTGGGAAATAACTGAATGTTGCTTTCCAGAGAGTGCTTCCTTGGCATCAGTGTAAGTAAGTCATGCATGGAATAACAGAGGCTTGTCCCTGTTAACTGCAGTGATTCTCAGAGAGAGGGAATATCACAAATGGGACAATTGCAATTATCTGGAGAGATTTCCCACCCTGGCCCCAGCTTTAGTTTCTTTTCAGAATTATGTTTTCTGTCTGCATAAAAAAAAATGACAGTTAATCCTTGTCCTAAATATAATAAAATTAATCTAGTTTCTTTCTTCCCCACTCATGTGCACAGAGCACCTATGTCTACACAGGTTCATTTCTCTGAAGGTGGTGTCTTTCTCCTTCCTTTGTGCTGAATTGGGACCAGGAGCTGGAATTAGTTCTGTTCCATGCTGTCACACTATTGAGAATGATCTTGGGCAGCACTGGTGGAAGGAAGGCAAACAGGATAAGTCTCTGGCATGTAGGGGTGACAACTCTTATTGCTGAAGAGTCTGAGTATTAA